GGGGTAGGGGGAAGGGATAGCTCAATTTAGATTTGTTGCAATCTGCCAAACCTAATAGGCCCCTGGTGGAAGTGGATACCTCTTGCTAAGAGTTTATGGGGGAGGAGGAAAAAAACAAGGATTCTAATATCTTTAAGGGAGTGCTCCATGCCATTTGAAAGCACCTTCCCCCATTAATTACCCAGTCATAATTTTTTGCTTTACTTTAACATGAGAGGTTATGTGGGGAAGGAGCCTTACCTTGGCTAAGGCATCATAGGCAAGTCCAAGGATCCCATGCCATTTAACCTCCGGCAAAAAGAAATTCTCCGATTCCAGAATAGTAGCAACGTTGACAGTGTAAGTGCCATTAATTCCCTTTGGAATAGTAATGACGTCAGTGCCAAGCACTCCTACCCAACTTCCTTGAGTATACCGAACAGTGACCTCAGTGCCTTGTGATTTGTATGTACTCGACCTGAAATTGAAATGCCAAGTTAACTGAATGGTTTTAGACAGACACCTCATTAAACATTAACAACAATTTCATTCTGGATAAACAAGGATGTAATTCCTAGTTACATAGCAACAAAACAGTCTGAAATGCACATAACTTAACTGTAATTTAAGGAAGAATGTTTAGATTTAATGGTGACAGATTTACAGGAAAAGGGACAAAAGTTCTGTATAGAATTGGGGCAGAAAAAGTTTAGGAAGAGCAATTAAAAAAAGACAGAAGGGACTATGAATTGTGAAAGGAAGAAAAGGTCAAGTCCATGCAGGGTTTTGGAAACTAAACTAGGTTTATGTTATTGAGCTTGGAGACTGACAAGAAAACAGATGAATTGAGGTAAGGTGAGGTTGATATGGTCCTACTTCCTGAAGAAACAGAATTGGGGCAGAAAAAGTTTAGGAAGAGCAATTAAAAAAAGACAGAAGGGACTATGAATTGTGAAAGGAAGAAAAGGTCAAGTCCATGCAGGGTTTTGGAAACTAAACTAGGTTTATGTTATTGAGCTTGGAGACTGACAAGAAAACAGATGAATTGAGGTAAGGTGAGGTTGATATGGTCCTACTTCCTGAAGAAAC